TTCAGTTTAATTTTTTTATACATACAGTCTGTATTATTCTATTTCTATAATATCACCACTAAATTTTGTATGAAAGTATGACAATTATATCCGGTGTGAGTAAATATTTTAAGGCGAGACAGATAGCAATTTAAAGATTACTTGCAGAACAAAAATATAATTACGGAAAAGATAGGAGTAAATCTACTTCTCATATAGGAATTATGCAAGTGTGTTAGGGAAATGAAAAGAGAAAAAGATGTAGAAGTAATAATAGTTTGATGAACATATACATGTATTTCGATTTCAATGTTGAGCTTCTTCAGTTTCTGTTTATGATTATTACTAACATGTATATGAATAAATAACTTTGATTCAGGGAAAGGGTGTTTACCAATTTGTTGACAAGTATGGTGCCAACGTCGATGGATACAGGTATTTTCCCATTTTTTCTTCTGCTCACATCGACTCAATATGCATCTTCATTTATAAACACACATATATCTTCAATGTCATGTTAGCTATACAGTGCAAATTCATTTTAACACTTGTTGAGCTAGTATTGGCAGTAAATTTTCACTTTAAATATGTTGCTGAATTGGGTGAAAACCCTGTAAAGCATTGATAAAAGTTGCTTGTGTTACCCTTGGTACCTTAGTGCTCTTTTTTATTTTCTGTGTGAAACAAGTCCAGGTATAGTACTAATGTTAGTTCTTCCGTGTGATGCAAATATAGAGTAGAAATCCTGTTTGTTTCGATCGAGTTATTTTGTCCTCTGACATGGTTATGCACACAAATGTAGTTCTCTAGTATGCTAATGTACTTATCTTCCATGTAGTAGTGAAGTTTTGAGAAAGATAACATAATTTTGGTGGTGACAACATTTTAGAATAGATAAGATTCTTTTACATACTCAAAATTATATAAAACTTTGTTCTGGCTGTTGTTCCAGGATTTGTTATCCTTTTCGAGAGCCCTCGTGGACTGATTTACAACGTAGTTAAGGACAATCAGATTAACTCAATATATTGAGAAGTTTTCTCCTCTTAACCGTGTAGATATTCTGATTCTCCTTGACTATGGGCTTCTAGAAGTGTGCCGAGAGATAGGGACTAGTGTAATTCAGTCTTTTAGAGTTGTCATAGTTTGATTTCTAGCATTTGGCTAGCATCTTGGTCAAATGAGCACACTATTCGATTAGATTCTCCTACTCTTATGAATCCCTTTAAGCTCTTCTTCATATATACTTGTAGTTCAGTTAGCTGATGAGACACTTTCAAGGTTTAAGGTTATGAATTGTAGGCCTTGAAATTCATGATGCTCTCTTCTTCTCTCTCTTTCGCATCGAAATGTGTTATGCATTCGTACATGCTACCAATCTACAAATCTTGTATTTTCGGGGAAGCAGATTTAAGTTATTGTGTAATTAACTCACTTTACTCTGGTCCATCCATATTTGAGTTTTTCCCTCTAGTTTTGGCAGTAAAGTTCCAAGATATTAATTGTATCTGCTGTGGATATACTCGTGAATATATCACATCTATATGATATCACTTTCTTCTTGATGAAGGCTTTTTGCAGTTAAAACATGGTATAGTCTAAAATGACCTGATCCTAAATCAAGTGATCACGATTGCGCCTTATTTGCCTACTATTATACTTTATGGACAAAAATAACAAATCATCTTCGGTGGATTTCTCATCAACTTACCTTAAGTTTACCATTAAACACCATGCACCTACAATGAAGTACCTAACTTAATCTTTCATTGATGTTGTAAACAGTCCTATCTACAACACCAATGACTGGTCTCCAAGCGGTGATGTCTACGTTGGCGGTAAAACACTCATCCCCCAAAGTCAAATTAGTTTTGTAATATAGAATGTTCCTATGTTCATGATGAAGGAGAATATATATACATCTGAAAAATATATGTTATGTTGCTGCAGGTACTACTGGGTTGGCAATCTGGGCTGTGACCCTAGCTGGTCTTCTTGCAGTGGTGCATTACTTGTCTACAACACAAGTGCCTTGGTTCAGTAGAATTCTTCTCTTGTTATTATAGTTTTGATTGTATCATACCCTGTATCTCCCTCTCATGTACTTGTCTTACCTAACTCTGTAAACGGTCTCAGATACGTCCGTGAATCCTTTGTGTGTAATGCTTTTACCATATCTATAAACTGTTGCAATTGACGTCTGTGCTGCATCTCTCTTGAAATCTCTTCTTCATTTT